CCTAGCCCGAGACTAGTCAGTCGCCGAAACGTCAGATACAGTTAAGCAAGAGACTCAGCTCAAGGCGGATGATAAGTGTCCTTTTTTTAAGAGTTCTGCCGGTAATTACGTATTGGAATTGAGTCGCGACTTCATATGTTAACACACAACACCCAGCGTTACTGCATGTTGACTTTTCCTTTTGTTTGTGTGGGGGAAATGCCACCGAGGTAATTATTTCCATTCCTAAGACTTGTCTCTAGTTACAGATCCGGAGAAGCTAGTGCAGATGACATCATGACGTAACAGTTTTTATTTTTAAGGATTCCGACTGTTATGAATAGCGCCGAATGTTTAGATATTTAAGTGTAATTCAAATTTGTCTTATTTTGTAGTTTCATGTGTGGGTAGTCGCTAGTTCAGTTGTATCTGCTTTAATCCATTTATCGACCAAACAGTGTCGACATACTTATTTCCACTTTCGGAATCGTGATTTGCACAAAATTGCATGTCGGATAGAAAACTTGATAAAAAAACGTCTAAGGATACATCCCTTGCATTGCTGTTGTTTGCTATAGGGTTAGACTGTGTGTCTGTGGAAGTGGTCCTCTAACGCAGTGGAATTCAACCTTTTTTGTTCGCGTACCCCCAGATATAATTTCTCTTCAACTTTGTACCCCCAAAGTTGTTGGTGTATAATTCAAGTTATACATAGTATATAATCTACATCTAAAATAAATTAAATAAATTAAATTACTGATTATTCAGTGTTTATCATAAAATATTTTTTTTAAAAGTTCACGTACCCCCTAAGATGTCTTCGCGTACCCCCAGGTTGAATACCACTGCTCTAGAGAAATTGCAACACGTTAGGTGTTTCCATTCGCACATGAAATAAAGCTTTTGTAAATTAGGCCGTTGTGTGTGTCAGCAATGGGAAGTTCGCAAACGCACCACGTCTTCAGAGAGATGTTTGAATCTGTCATGTTAAGTTTTTGAAGAGAGCAATATTAAAGAACCCCATTGAAACGCGCAATTATATTTTACTTCCAATCAGAAGGTTTGAAGGCATAAAGAGACTCGTATAATAACAGGAAGTTGTTATTGAATACTTGTGTTTTGCATAGTCGAGCTTACTGTTGTTGCAGATAGTGGCGGAAACAGCCTTTTGCAGGCAAGTGGTAAACATAGGATGTTACGTCATCAGCAACTCCAGCAGGAGGACCATGACAGCCGGAGGGCTAGTTCCAGGGGTATCATACCTAAGGCCAAGGTCAAGACTGTCAAGATGACCTTCGTCATTGTCTTCGGTGAGTTTTAAAATGTGACATGCCTGCAGTAACTTCTAACAGTTTCTTTCTTATTCTGATTTATCTGCTGTTTTTTTTGTGTTTAAATCCTCAGTAGCAAAGAGAAATCCATACGAAAAATGGGAGACACCAAACAATGATTAGACCTATATGGCGTTTACAAGTTACGGGATTGTTTTAAAAATTGGAAATGAGTTTTACTATCACAGGTCACTCGTAGCATATTCAAAAGAACAAATCCAGAAATAAGATATGGAGTGTAGTGTCTGTTCTGAGTGCTGACGTGTGTGTATATATGACAGATGAACCATTCCGTATCAGATGAAGTGGACCAAAACGTATTACCAAAGTGGATGAAACCTCTATATAAAGAACATAAAAAGAAGTGTAACACTCCAGAGACCGGTTTCGTTCAAAGCACAGATCATACTCGAAATAAAAATGTAACCATAAAAGAACGATGTACACTGTGTCCGGGAATAACAAATTCCCCAGATAAACTTTGGTTGATAAATCTCTCAGTTCCTGGGAGGAAGCTGGAGGTTTTGAAAATAATCTCGAACCCACATCCAAGATCAGGTAGACTCGTTGATGCAGTAACCGTATAATAAATGGTAGTCTTATGACAAAAAAAATCTCAAGGCTTCAGCTTCATTGGTTCGCCTCTGTGGGTCTCCGCTTCAAATCTGTCTCATGACATATTCCGATCTTATTGTTGCCGAATAAAATTATTTAAAAATGGTATCTTGACCGAAGTTTCGTAACGTCCTGTACGTTATACATATGTCGAATAGTAACCGGTCTTTAGCTTGTGCATTAGTGAATCTAACACCGATAAACTCTTAGTGAGTGCACGTAATTATCAGTTTAAAAGTGACCGCCATTGTTTTCGTTGTGGAAGGAACTTGGTAAAACTGAGACCGACACAAAATAATTATTTTATAATATAACACTCGCTTATGAGCTGTGATGTTTGTTGACTGTAAAAATACCAACTTTTATCTTCCATTTATCGTATTTTTCTCTTATTCAGACGTTCTGTTTATGTAATTCATTTGTTTCGTGTATTCCTAAATTAAATTTTCTATACATTCTTGTAATGATGATTAATTTTCAGAACTGTTTCATTTCTTTTGTTCTGAATCTACTCACGTAAATAAGATTTAAAATTGATTTACGTAGTTCAACTGGTTAATGCTGTTTAGGAAAGAAATTGCTATTTATTCTAAAAATACTATTCTGTGACAAGCTGTGTTGCTTTTCAGTATGTGTCAATTTCTTACACTGGAAACATAAGAATTACGAAGGTATATGGAAAATGTTTATCTGGAGTTTTTATTTGTTTGTATACTGAAAGGACTGAAACTTTATTATGGTGGAAAAAAGGAAAAGATCCCGTGAGGAAGAGGTTTATGAAGGAGGGGATCAGAGATTATCTTTCTTCGAAGAAGATAGTTTAAATAGAAGAAAAACAACTATGACAATTTTACGTCTTCTTGTAACGTGTCCCTTTTTCATTAAATATCTGTGACATTAATGCCAGGAGGACTCTTCTTTAAACAGCCAATCGGATTACTGGACTGTTGTCTGTGTTTTTTGAAGATAACGTCGGTCCTATCTGCTCTTTTTACGTGTCTCTAAAAGTATAGCTCTGTCGTGTTGGTCTATAACACAGAATGAATGCAGTAGCATCGTACTTTTATGATCAGACCCGGATCGGACACATTTATTCCATTATCACCATAAAAACAAATGCGAGTTATCTGCATATTTAAAAAAAAAAAAAACCGATCGCTTCAACGACTAGTCACGGACTGAAATGGCGTTCCAAAATATTGGTATGGTATAAAATACCGGAATAGAATTTCCCTTTGTTTTAACGTGAGTAATTATGAATTAAATTAAATTAAATTCAATCCGTGGCGTAACAGCTCCAGAGAGCCAAAGCCGACTAGCTTGACTGCTGGATGTGCAAATTAAATAACGTAGGTCTGTACTACATGGGATTAGCGTGAATCACATAAGAAACAATATCGAGACTTTGCAATGTATTGTGTTTGTGATATATACGAGGCGCGTCCCAAAAGTAAGTTTCCCACTCGTCCCACAGCTAGCAAACCTTATATTGAGCGAAGCGACTGTGCATACGTGATAGAGCAATGACGTAGCATGGCGCATGCACTAACGGTACTTCCCGCGTTCTCACAGTAGCATCGTTGCAGCTGTTGAAGATGGAGGTTCTTATCCCAGCTCCCGCCGACTGTGAAGTGCGGTCAGTGATAAAGTTTTTGAATGCACAGAGCATAGCGCCG